GGAAGGCTGAGGCGGAAGGATCGCCGGAGCCCAGCAGGTCGAGGCTGCGGTGGCCGGGAGCGGCCACTGCACTCCAGTCTGGGTGACAGAGTGAGACTCCAACTCAAAGAAAAAAAAAGAGAAAGGGTCTCAGTATGTTGCCCAAGCTGGTTTTGAACTCTTGGCCTCAAGCAACCCTCCTGCTTTGGCCTCCCAATATGTTGGTGTTACAGGCATGAACCATTGTTATGGTCATCAGTTTTTTCCACGATACATTTCTAGCATTGATCTCATTGCTGGCAGATTTAAAATGTGGCCACGATTGCTAACTTGCTAGTTTCATTATCCTTCCCCACCCAGAGTTGCTGGCACTTGGGGTACACAGTTAGGATTCACTCCCCAGTCTCTTTCCCCAAGATATGATTTGAATCAAAATTCAGATCTGTCCTATAACTATTTACAGAACCAGAAATTCAGTCTCCAGAAGTACTCACCATGAATGTCACCTTCTCCCTGGAAAAGAAAAAAATTTAAAGATTTACTTCTTATTTTAATTTAGGAACACACAAAACAGTCACAGTTCAGAGCAGATAACATCTCTGAAACCAAATATGAAATTTCATATTGACGATGCAATCAAGTATAGGGTCAATCTGCAATCTTTTGAATGCTATATAAAAATTCGGTGGAGGCCGGGCTCGGTGGCTCAGCCTGTAATCCCGCACTTTGGGAGGCCGAGGTGAATGGACTGCCTGAGCCCGCAGGTTCGAGACCCGCCTGGGCAGCGAGACCTCATCTCTACAATAAATCAAAAAACAGCCGGGCATAGTAGCACGCGCCTGTAATTCCGGCTACTCGGAAGGCTGAGGTGGAAGGATCGCCAGAGCCCAGTGGGTCGAGGCTGTGGTGGCCAGGAGCGGCCACTGCACTCCACTCTGGGCGACGGAGTGAAACTCCAACTCAAAAAAAAAAAAAAATTCTGTGGATTAATTGCCCCAGTAATACAACTAAAACACAAAAAAACCTTAACATTTATGCTGATGACCTAATAGCAATGAGCATTCTGGAGGATCTTGTATCAGAGTGGAAAGCTGGTAAATCTATACTTTCATTTATCTCTCTTTTCTCCTTAACTAGCTGTTGAAGGGCCCCTATCAATTCCAAGGCCTTTCCACGGCTCCCCCACACTCAGGCAGGAGGTGCCCCAATGTGCTCTGAGGGCCCCAGTCAGGAGGACTTCCTGCCAGGCGAGTCTTGCCAGACCCACACCCTGAGGTCTTGGTGACAGTACTCAACCACAGACACAACGGATGGTTATGCCAGTGCTACAGTCTCCTGGCGTTCAAGACTGTAATCCCAGCACTTTGAGAGGCCAAGGTGAGGGGACTGCCTGAGTCCAGGGCTTGAGAACGGCCCGAGCAACTTGGCAAGATCTCATCTCTATGATAAATGAAAAAATTAGCCAGGCGTGGTAGCGCATGTCTGTAGCTCTGGCTACTTGGAAGGCTGAGGTGAAGGGATCACCTGAGTCCAGCAGGTTGACACTGAGTTGGCCATGAACGTGCCACTGCATCACAGCCTGGGCGACGGAGTGACACTTCAACTCAAAAGAAAAAAAGGTACTGAGTGTGATCAAGAAGCTCCAAAAATCAATACTGAAGGATATAAAACTAACCCTAACAGTACAAGAGCCACCTGAACAGATCAAGTTCAGGGCAGCTCCCTTTTTTGACTTTACTTGCTGTCAATCTTCCATCACCATCATGGCCTGGACCCTCTCCTAATTACTGCAATATAAAAATCCAGTGGTAGAACTGAAACTCTTAGTAAAAAAGGGGAAGTTTCATTTCGAAAGTGAATTGGCCTCAAAGCCTTTCTGTCCTCATGATGTCACTGACCTTCAGATCTAGGAAGTCTCCAGAGTTGGCTTCAGAGGAGTTCCTTCTCTGCAGTCCAGATGACTCCAAGTCTTCCCTGCCACCGCTAGACTTGGCACCTCAAAATCAAAATATATTTCCTTGAGGAATATAGTAGAAAAACTAAAGCAAAACGCTTTAGTAACTGGCATTATATGTTAGTATCATATTACAAAATAAGAAAACAGTCTTAGGAAAGTTAAGCTTATGGCTTAAACATTCTGTAAAGGGACCAAAAAACCCAAACTGACTTCAGTTCTTATTCGGATCCATCTTATAGACTCAGTATTTTCTAGTTCTTTCCTCTCTTGGTAAGCTTGATCTATTGTTCATTGTATTACCATTAAGTTAGATTTTGCTTTTCACTGCAAAACCAGCTTTGGCTACTGAAGCTGGATCCATCTCTTTGAACAGCGGTCACAGAAAAAAGCGGTACCTGCCACCTTGGCCCAAGAAGGGGGATTTTCTTCCGGTGTCCCAAAGATACTAGAGGCCATTTTGTTCTTCCTCACGGGTTGTTCTGCTGGCTCATCAAAGCCTAATGAAAAATTGGATCCACCACCTGGAGGCCGCAAAACCCTGGAAACAATGGCAAAACATCAATTTCAGATCATACCCAAATACTTCATGGCATAAATATTTTCAAACACCCTTCATTTCCCTTAGTTACCCCCTCAGCCCCACAAAAGAGCTGCTCATGGAAAAAAAGAATCAACTCCATTATGGTATAAATGCAACCCTGGATGTTCAGATATCAAATACTGCCTTATGATCTATTTTTTTTTTTTTTTTTTTTTTGAGTTGGATCACTCTGTCACCTAGACTGGAATGCAGTGGCCGCTCCCGACCACTGTAGCCTCGACCTGCTGGGCTCCAGCGATCCGTCCACCTCAGTCTTCTTTTTTTCTTTGAGTTGGAGTCTCACTCTGTCACTCAGACTGGAATGCAGTGGCCACTCCCGGTCACCACAGCCTCCACCTGCTGGGCTCCAGTGACCCTTCCGCCTCAGCATTCCAAGTAGCTGGAACTACAGGCGCGTGCTACCAGGCTGATTTTTTGATTTATTGTAGAGATGAGGTCTCGCTGCCCAGGCGGGTCTCGAACCCGCGGGCTCAGGCAATTCACTCACCTCAGCCTCCCAAAGGCAGGGGATGACAGGCTGAGCCACCAAGCTTGGCTGCACCTCAGTCTTCTAAGTGGCCGGAACTACAGGCACGCGCTACCATGCCCAGCTAATTTTTTGATTTAATGTAGAGATGAGGTCTCGCCAAGTTGCCCAGGCAGGTCTCGAACCCGC